ATCTCTTGCCCTCAGGGCACATCTGTCCTAGACGGGCCCAGCCAGATGTGAGCACACTCCACCTGTGATCTGAGTTGGTCAGGTATGAGCACATTCAGTCTGGATTTCGCAAGGCCACTGTCCACGCAGGACTTTGGGTCCCTGCAAATGAGCCCCACCAGACAGCAAGAGAGGTTAGTCCATCAGCCATGGCTCTCTGAAGCCCTCATTCCCGTTCTCCAGTGCTCTCAGAACCCTCCCTTCTCTAGTCTCTGTGATATTTTTTTGTAGCCACAAAAATCTGCGGAGGTCTGGTTTTAAAACTCATCTGTACTGAAAAAACAGAACCATGACCTCAGTCTGGGTGTCTGGACGCTGCCGCAGTACAACTCGGTAACAGTGATAAAGGCTGAAGTGTCATTGGCTTCATGGTTTAAGCCAGACAAGGCAGGGAGGTGCAAAAAGCAAAACAAAATCAGCAACTTGCAGCCTGTCTGTGTTTGGGCTGAATGACTGCAAATGTAATCTCTCTTCTCCATTCAGCATATGCGCTGCATCACACCTCTGTTTTTTAGAAAAGGCACATCTAATTTTTAATAGCTACCCTGTCTGTTCTCTGTTTTAAGCTTTGTTCTTCCAGCAGCAGTGAGGAATCACAACCATGGCTATGAGCTCTCCGTCATTTTGATCTGTGGGTTCTTTTTAGCTATTCCATGAAGAGGGGCTGCAGGTGAAATCCCAGCCCGGCTGAGGTCAGGAGGGGTTCTGGCGGTAGGGTCAGCAGCACCCACTGATCTTACAGACTGTTTGGAGAACTCTGCTGCGCTCTGTCTCAGAGAGCAGGACCTGGCACTAGCCCTCAGCTGCAGAGGGCTTGTTTGGTGTGTGGGAGGCTGTGCCAGCTCTGCTGGGAGGCACACAAACCCATGTACTGCTCCCTGCATGGGACAAAGTCTACGCTGAGCTTGTGTTGTACCATCAGTGCCGCCCCAAGACAGGGCACTGCAGAACTAAATTTAGAATTTAAACCAGACCATTTTGTAAAGAGAGGTTACAAAGCAGCCCAACTTTGCAAACAACTAAAGAAATGCATTTATCATAAATTAAAATGGAGCAACCTCTCCTTGCCTGAGCATGCTCCACAATTCAGATTTACTTTCAGGTCTAAACATAAATATGTGCTTTTCAGAGTTGGAGTATGCCAAAGCAGCTACCACCAGAAGTTTACAGGAGGGGTTTCTCTCTGCACAAGCTCTGCTGCACCAAGCTGCAAGCTTTTATCTAGGTAACTCACCAGGTACTGTTTCTATCACCGCTCAGTATTATCTCTTGCTTTAAGTAAGTTTAATTGACACAGCGCTAAAAACAGTACTGTCGGCAGCCAAGGGGTCAGACTGCTGATGCTGTTAACGCATTATCTTGTTTCCTTTTGCAGACAGGGCACTCGCCAGCAGTAGAAGGCAGGTAACAAATGCTTCCTTATGCGGCAGCAGGATGTCAATCACACCCCCATGTGAGAGGACCAGGAATAAAGCTACAGACCAGGGATGAAGCACATTCATTTCCCGGAGATGTGACACTGCTTTGGAGAGTAAGTACACTTAATGGAAGGGGACAATAATTTGCTGTAAAGGAAATAAATGCATCTTCAACACGTGCAAAGAGAGGCTTATACTTGCTAGAAACCAAAGCATGCTTGAAGACTGAATCTTAAAAACCTTTCAGACCCCTGCTCTCTTGTGGGGGAAAAAATTGTGCCTGTATGTTAGTGCTGCAGAGGTTAGAACCAGCTGAAATTGTCACATAAGCCTCAGGTCACGCTGATTCAGCGGGGCGTGGCGCTAGCCTTGTATGACATGCTGAGTCTCCATTAATATCTGTGTGGTTTTAATTAGCACTGTTCTTAGCTCTTCTGGATGGGGGACAGTATCTTGTATTTCTTTTCCATGTTCTATTCTGCCTGTTGAAGTGCTGGAATCTTGAATCATTTTGAGCACTGGCAGGGAAATTGTGATTCCCAATGTTTTTTTTTGAGGCTGTGTGCCTGCGAGGCAACACACTTCATCTCTAGCAAACAAAACAGTACTTGGTTTTGCTCCTAGGAAGGCAGTACAATAATGGTAAAGCATACAAACTTGTTAGTGAAACAAAGGGGGGGGGGGGAAATAAGTGTTCTTCAAGAAAAAGAGGGATGGTTAAGTCTCTAATGAACAGAGCTGGTGTACAAGTGAAAGTAAACCCTGCACGTCAGCCTCCTCAGATGCGTGATTTGGAGGATGTTCCTGTTTTCTACGCCTCTCAAATAGTGAAGAGGGCTAGGTACAATTATAGTAATTTTTCTGCTTCAAAGTTTAGGCCTCCTGCATGGGCTCCATAAGGAAAAAAACCTAAGTGTCTGACTTTCCTATACTTCATACACTCAGCAGAACATAGTCTCTGCAGATGGCTCTATTTTGGCAAGCTTCTTGAACCAAAGCATAGGGTTTGCTCACATGACAGAGTCTGAACATGCATAAATGTCTTCTGAGATTACATGTCTCTGTGCATTAAAGGAATAGTCAGGGAACTCCACCAGACTACAAACAAGCACATCAGGGCACAGTTGGTCATGTACCAGGTACTTCAATGTTCTATTTTTCCATCTTCATTAATATAATCTTCCTCTAGCTCCACCACGAGTATCACCTAAGTGGAGTCAGCAGGGCCGGTCCTGGCCATGGACGCTGGTCAAATGCTGCAGGAGCGGGTTTACAGAAACCAGAAATTCTGCTGGAATGCAGAAGACATTGTGCCCCTCGGATAATGTTTGTAAGTGTATCCACTTTTCTAAACTCACTTTTCAAAACAAGTAGCATAAATGAGCACCAAATGTGAATGCACAAATTCTTGTTTACCACTTAGCATATAGTTTCCAGCTAAACTTCACAGGGGAAACGTATGTCTCTGAAATGGGATATAACCATTGTGAGAAGTCTTTTCCATCTGGGTGTTATTTTTATTCTATGTAGTTATAGCATTGTGTGTATGCACTGTGGTTAACAGTGACTTCTGTTTCCAGAGTTATTCACACAGCACTGCTCATAGTCACAAAATATTGGGTAATCTGGGGGATTCAGCACAATGGTGCGAGTTTCTTTATATCCACAGCTTTATTATGCAATAAAAGCCAGCAAGAACTTTGTGCAAACAATTAGAAGCCTAAGGCGTTCAAAACAAAAAAAGACTTCCCTAGTTTGAACTAACTGCTGGGAATGAATTGTGGTTTCCTGACATTTGCAAATGAGCAAGAGAGGGGAAAAACATCCCTGCAAGTCCAAAATGCACATAAAAAACCCAAGGCTGTAATACCCCATAATCTCACACACACACCCCCATCCCCAAACCACACTGGGCTTAGGGTCCTCATGTTCTGTTTGGAACAAGGGGAGTTAGATATTCTAAGTCATTTTCTACCGTTGACTCCTTTAATATTTAAAAGGACAGCTGTTCCAACTGTATCTATCCGTTCTTACCTACATACATATGGTCACAGTTACTGCTGTCAACTTCAGCATTCTCCTTGTAACTCCTCCTAAACAATAAGGGTAGTAATTTCCTTTCCCCTACTACACTCAAAAAAGCACCAGCAAACCTTGCATTAAAGAGAAGTCCCACTGAGGAATTCCCTAGAACTAAAACGGTCCTTCCTATGCTTTAAACTAGGTTTCTGAGAAAAATATGGCCATTTCCAGGAGTTTAAGTGCGCCGCAGATGTGCAATGAAAAAGGCGCTTGTTTTTTCGTGGCTGGGTTCCAGAGTTGTGCCCAAGCATTCAAAGTGGTCTGTTTGCTATCAGTGCTGCCTCTGTGTTTGATAAGGGATAGGCCACCAAAGGGAACTCAGGGCCTGCTGGAATCCAGAGAAAGGATCTCACTGAGTTCAGCAGTCCTCAGAACAGGCTTAAGTGTCCTCTCCTGACCTCTCTCAAGCCATCTGGAAAAATGGTTTATAACCTTGTGTCTCCCCACAGAGGGCAGATCCAGTATCCAAGTCCGCGTAGGGGGAAGTAAAACTTGGCTCTTCTAAAGTCAGATCACTTTTTTAAATGTTAAAACAGGAGGGGCTTAGAATTGTGTGTTTAGATATCCTACTTCTAGGACGTCAGCATACATTTTTATAATGCAACATGTTTGTTTGTTTGTTTGTTGCCAATGAGAGCTCTCTTGTAAGTACACACTCAAGTAAATCTTGTACTTGCCCTTATGTACTATATAAAAAAACCCACCACAGTAAACTGACTATGACAGACCACACTTTTGTATTGACTCTATTGAAGTGAGCAGAAAGGAAGGACCACCTCATTTCCACCCTGACGCAGTTCGTTAAAATGGTTCCTCAATGGTTTCTCCATATGTCCAAAATCCAAAAAGTTGTTCAGTGTGGTTAGCTTCTGGACAGAGGGTAGAGAGGTTTTTGACAAGGCTGAAAGGATTCTGAAGGATTCTGACAACAGTGTAACTGTGCTCTGCTGAGACCAGGAATTCCACAGTATCATTTACCAATTCCTGTAATTTTAGTAGTTAATTTTACAACAATCTCTTCTCTACCCAGTTTTTTCCTTCTGTTTCCCCCACCAATCCTTGACCTATCCTAACTGCTCATCATTATTTGCTTTAGAAATCACTGAGCAGCCTTGAATTGCATTGCCTTTGAAAACATCAACTGAGAGGAACAGTTCATGCACATCCATACATCTCCACCGTGCCAGAAAGATCTCACACCTTTCAAGTGGCACCAACTGCACTGTCTAAAACCTATTTTGAAGTCATGATTTGAAAATATACTTACCTTATATGAGATTACAGGAAACATTAATTTACTGATGTATGTTTTACCTAGACATGAAGAAATACTGAAGATTTATCTACCGACGTTGCTTTACAAAAGCAAAAACAAGAACCACTTCTCCTGCTGTGCCAAGGAAGATGTAGAGATGAAAAAAACTACTTGCTCTGCAAAGCAGTGGCAGAGTTCACATCAAGAATTTATTCCCCATCATTCCTCTCCTTCCTTTTTTTTACTAGGCTATACATTGATATGTTCACAAAATTAAACCCATCTCTACACAGCAGCTTCATGACTGGCCACCACCTCAAGATATCAGTTATTGTTCAGTATCTGTTACTGTTCCTCTGATTTAATAAGAGCCCTTGAGGGGGAGGAGAGGGGGGGAGAATTAAAAAAGCAGTGCACTGACCTGTCTCCAGTTAATGGCATAATGACATGTCCCTGGGTGGAAAACACGATAAAGGATAATCTCATCTTGGGGCTTTTAAAAAAGGGAAATTTTTTTGGGGGGAAAAAAAATTTAGACAAATTAAGAAAAATGTACAGATACAGAGCATTTCATGCACTTATTCTAGCTTCATCAGTATCATCTTTATCCTCCATCTTCCAAAGAACATACTTTCAACTACAAACCCAGAATGAGAGATGAATTAAAGGGTTTCTGCCCATCTACTCCTTACCCAGATGCTTTGAGAATGAAGTAACAATTTATTATTCTTTCTTGCCTGACAAAACTCCAGCTCAACACATGCTAAACTTAAGGTAACACATCCTTTTGTATTTTCATGGGCACTGGTATAAAAACAAGTCAGGGACATAGACTCAGGGTACTCTCTTGCCTCCAAGGTGTTCCACGTGGACATGTGCAAAAGTCAGTTTCTCCATTTTAAGGTTTGATCCTGACACAATGTAAATTTCCAGCTGTGCTTTTTGGTCATAAAATGATCAAAGAAACAATGCCCTCCAACTGATTCATCTCTAAAAGAGCAGCATAACAAACCCTTTCAGAATGAGTATGTTTTGGTGACCTAGAGTTGTGACACTTAAGATCAACTCCCATTAAAGTATCTGGGGAAAGGTCATTATAAAAAGTAATACTGTAGGAATTGATTTTATTAAGGAATTCAGCCTTTTTTTGAAGAAGCCCACCTGTCTCTTCCAGCACGACTAAGAGGAATTCTATCCAGCCATCTGGAAATTGTACTTTCTTAAGAACTGATGCTCTGGAAGCCCAAGACAGTAACTTTTCTAAGGTAAACGATAACAACATCTCTCTCACCAGCTTTTAATTTTTATTCATGACAACTGCATGATATTCAGGAATTTTATAGTTCACTGTATATGTGTATCAGCATTAATTTATGGGGTTAATGTTAGCAAAGACACAACACTTGTAAAGATGAATGACTATAGATTTCCAGTTCATTTACGTCAACACTGCAACTTGAAATTATTGACATCACAGAAATATAAGTACTGGGCAAGTCTTTGCAGAGAATTGTACTGATCTTGGATTTATGATCCAGTCTTGCAGTCTATCTGTTAAGGTTCTGAATGCAAAACTCTGAAATGCTCTGAATTAAACTATAATCTAAGCCATGGCATTATCAATCTTCTCAGTAGCCACAAACAGTTGCCAAACAGAAAACAAGAACTTGCAATCCCGATCTCTGTAGATTACGTCACCACCTAGCCCAAGTAGCGTGAGACTTCCCTATTTGAGATGCAACTTTCTGTATGCAGTAACCTCAAAGTTACGATTTAGCTAGTCTTTGGGACAACCACGAGGCTGTCCTCTTCACAGGAGATCCCACTGCTGTTCTGCTGTTGAGCTGAATGCTCAGCACCCGGACACCAAGAGAGATGCTCTTAGGTTGGACTAACTGGCTCTGCGCCGTAACTGATCGTCCTCTGGCGCGAAAGCTCAGCGGAGTACCTTGCCAACTAAATAGCTTTATTCCGGATAATGCAGCCAAACCACTACACAGCAACTGTTGCAAAAGAGAGCATCATGTGACGTCATCTTGGCTTACAGGATGATGAACTGGAAGATTTATGCAGGACAAAGCAGCATCCTCTCAGTGGGGGCAAATGCATTTTTTCACCACTGAAAAGAAGTGCTGCTCTGGTCTCCTTAGTTTTTTTGGGTTTTTTTTTTTTTATTCTGAAACTTACAAAATAACTTTCAAAAGGTTGTGTCACCCACTTCACTTACAACACACTTGCTTTTTACAAGATTAATGTATGTAAGCAGTATTTAATTATGCAAGCCTAATTGTATCCCTTTATTAGCAAGCCAAGATTGTAATTGCCCAGTGCACTTCATTTGCCTTTAGCAAAAACTACCACAACGTCTATGTCTGTGTGTTTTGGGGGTCCTCCTTTGTTTTATTCTCTTTTCTTTTTTTCTTTTTTTTTTTTCTTAGCAAAATGCTGCATCACAGTAATCCTCAACTGTCTGTATAGAGTACAGTTATCCAGTATTTATAACATCCATTTGGGTGGCAGCAATACTTGCCAGACACTCCTGCTAGCCAGCTGCAGACAAGGTTGGTTATGTGTAACACACACACTGTTACCATGGCATAAACTTCCTGTGTGTTTGTGCTTGAAACATACTGCCTTCCTCCCACCTGCACCATATATTCACATATATATAGACATGTATTCAAATTGCCTTATTTATATAGATCTCTAAAAGCAATAAACAAGAAATACTCTATCAGAAACTGGGCATGGGGAAAAAAAACTTTAAAAAAATCAAATTACATCTAAGAGTAATTTTAGAGACTAAGTATTTAAAGATGCATTTTACCACGTTTTTATTGAGCTCCAAGCATGAGGAAATGAAGTTTCCAACATTTTCCAGCATATGGGCCCTGGAAGCCAAACTTTCGACGTGTTTATGGAACACATCTACAGCGTTTACAAAAGCACGTGGGGTTTTTTTCAACATATCCCAGTAACACAGGTGTCAAAAGGAGCAAAACGCACCTCACAAATCTTTCTGTCAGTTGATTCACAAAATCAAATATTTCATGCCAGTTCTGCGCTACACTCCCAGATCTGAAAAGAAAACAAAAGCCATTAGTAGGCCGTGTGTAAGGAGAGCAAGCAAGGGAGAGGAGACTTTCGGCGAGGAATTAAGACAAAACAGTGAGTCCGCTGTCCCAGTTATTCAGTCTCCAGCAGCCCGGCCGGGCGGCAGCTCCGTGTGGGGTCTGTCCGGGGGTCTGTCAGCCCACGGCAGGGC